TTATAGATCATTTTTTAAATCAATTAAATGATCGATTTTTATTTCATTGACCTATAATTGAAAATAATGTTATTTTACCACCATCCAATAGTATACAATATGAAGAAAAAATTAAGCAGCTAGTTGACATGTATCAAGGTCATTTAGATTACAGTGTGTTAGCAGCTGTGAATGAAATTAAAATTTGGCAAAAAAATCTACAGGCACTAAAAACGCTCTAATAAGAACTAATAATGCTCTTAAAAAATGTAACATATCAATTTTCCTTCTACTTTCAAACTTTTACAGATTTTAGCAACTCTTCCTGTTACAACTGCTAACAGTGAACAATTTTTTTCAACATTAAAAAGATTGAAAACATATTTGCGAAACACCACATGTGAAAATAGGTTAAATGGTTTGACAATGGTGAATATACACAGTGATATAATGATAAACTCTGATGATGTCCTAAATAAATTAGCGATCAAAACAAGAAAACTACGGTTGATGTAAGTTTTAATGTAATTAAAATATTGTGTAATTTTAAATGCTTTAAATAAAGTACAAGAAAATTTAAAATAATATGTTATATGTATACCTACTTATTGTATAGACCTAAGCCGTAAATCTCCCATTGAAAATCCTGGCTACGCTACTGTACGCAAATATTATGTAAACTTATCCGACGAAAATTATGGACTGCTTTGAACTACGTAGTAAAATAAATGAGGATGTAGTTTTTTTTTTGTTTTTCAAGGTTTATTCAATGATCCAAAGTCAAAATATTTACTCAGTAACCACCTTAATGTACACAGTATATACGTTCTCAAATCGGTCATGCATTAAACATTGAATCGAGGTAATTTTTATACATGGCGGAATCTCAACACCGAGAGTAAAAATCATATTATTCTCGTATGTTATTAATATTCTCATTGGCCATGAAAATATCATTTTTCTGGTTCACTTAAATCTTAATGGTGTATTTAATATAGGATTTTAAAATTAAAATAACTATATTCAATTTAAAAAAAAAAATAAATAATAATTTTTATTCAAACATCACTCAACCAATAATATTATGTATACATGGGAGTGTATACTTATATATAGATGTTTTTAGGATTCAACTGGAAAAATAAAATGATACATAAGTTTTTTCTCCAAAATGATCATTAATATTCTAAGACCTTGCCAAAAACATGGAGGTCGCTAAGCTCCTCGGTCGATAAACCACAATCTAAATGGTAATGAAGAACCTTAGAATAAATGACAAGAGAATATTATTTAGTGTAGAGTAAATAATGCAAAAGCATTATTTACACCCATAGTTTTCTATTCATGAATAACTTATAAAAATACATTCAAAATAGCTTCTAAAATATGGTGTTTATAAGTATTGAATTATATTTTTTATTGGTTAATACGATTTTTTTTACAAAAAATATATTTATTTATTAGGGTAGTCTTCTGGTGCGCTTAAACGATCTGATGAGCAAAAAAACAGTGACTTGAATCAATATTATTAGTTTGTAATTTAAAAAGACAATTTACATGTATCATATTATACAGAACAGAAAAATGTATATAATGCGTCAATCTAAAAGGTCTACGCACCACAATCGTATAGATAATTCCATGTGATAAAACAACAATAATTTACTTAAGTTTTGTGCTTATATATACTCTAAATTAATTAAGAAATCTATTTTATACATCCATAAGTAGTTAAATTGGTAGACAATTAACGGATTAAGTTTAGAAATATTCTCAAAATTAAAAAATAATTGAAAATAACTGTTATTGTAGCCTAGTCGTACCAATACGTGTATACATGACGATGAAATGGAAAATCAAAATACGTAAAAAATTTTCATGTTTAAACAAAATATTTCAGTTCATGCGATTTTAAGGCTATGATTTTAATACGATTGTTTTTTTTCGAGAAATAAAAATAAATTTTACTGTTTTTTTTACACTGAAATTATTTCACGATTATTGTCCAACAGTATTTACATTTTTGTGGAATTTAATACTTTTTTTATGAGTAGCGTTAAAAAAACTTCATTACCTTTTTATTATCAGTTTCATTATATTTTAATTATGATTATGTTAATTAAGGACGTAATATTATTATATTTGTTCAAACGTTGTAGACTTCAATTAGTTCTAAAAGTGCAACTGATTATTAAATATATATATTTATTATTTATTGAAACGACTGTATAAATATTATATTAAAACCAAATCGTTCAAATAATATTTTTTATCATTACTATTTTCTGTCTCCGTATTAAATTCGTTAATGTTTTAGCTAACCTAAATATTGGTTTAGGTATATATATTTACATTGCATTATGTAAAATATTGTACTCAATGAAAAAAACATAACGTCAAAAATAATATTACAATATTAATATTTTTCAAGAAGTTTTAAAAGTATAATAACGGTCTACATTCAAGAAAATCATTAACTCAATTCGCATTGACCGTACGATCAATAACTACACAACTTTGGAACATAAAAGAATAATTACCGCCTAAAATATGTACATAATGTTAAGTCCCGTGAATATATTAGTATTTCCTCTAAATAGAAAACAATTTAAGCAACCGAAAAACTGACTTAGTGGTAACACGCAACTAAATTCTGCTTGATTTGACACCTGTATAGAATTCATACAGAAACTTTCCCTAACATAAAATGATATATTTTCCATTTATTGTTACCCCTCCCCTCAACCCATACGGTTAAATTATTATAAATATTATTTTTACGGTTCTGCTCGGTTTACGAATTTAAATCTAAAAAATCGTGGTACCGACATAAATATAAACAAAATATACAAGATTGTACGAAATCAGTGTTTGGTGTTCGGCCTTTATAAAACTAGGACGAATCAGTATTCAGTTCTAGGTGGTGTAGATTCTATAAAATGTAATATTTACGACCGATATGATTTCCATGCACACGCCGGCACAACTTTACAACCTTTTCCGACGCAAATTGCTATAATATGTAAAAGTGTCCGTGGCTAATGGGAACTCTCATTTTCCTCGAGGGTAGTATATACCTATGAACGTGATACCAGGTAGAACGTCTTAAAAATTCGTTGAATATCGTTACGTTTACTTTTACCGGAGTACCGATGTTATATTATGGACCGCAGTCGTAGTTTTGCGTTTTTCATTCATCGAATTATCTACAAACGTTTAAAATCTGTTAACACACGACATTGTGACCGGGAAGTAATGTTAAAAAAAAAATAAAAAAATTTAACAACCGTTTGCTCGGCAATAATTCTTGCCCTTCTTGCCGCACCCCAAAAAAAACTGTACTTAAATTATATACACGTAAACACCAGTGTATCGTATTCGCGTGATAATAATAATAACAATAATTGCCCTCTTTGGCGGTCATACACGATGGTTCTTAAAGTATAATATACAAACCCTTCCACTGTATGACATTAGCTTTCTGATGGCACTCTACGGCGCTCGTTAACAATAGCCTCTCTGCTACCGTGAAATGCCACGACGACGATATTGCGTGTTATCGTGTTAAAAGTCAAATGTATATTATAAAACGCTATAACCACCATACTGTCATGACGACATGATTATTTAGTTGACGATATCGATTTTTCTTCACTTATAGAATATAATTCTCGTTTGTCACCCTTTAATCATAGTAACCTTACCCTGTGCCCAACTTAATGGTCGAAGATCTCAAAAGAATTTGCAAACACTCTGTTTATAACTATGGTTTGAACGAAGAAAATCATAAAAAGACCACCACACACAGCTACGCACGCATAATGTTGGAAAATTGAAAGAGTGGTTAATTAACGTAGACAACAATGCGAAATTAACAGATCAAATTGTACAATTAATTGAACAATTACTGTTACTCTCTCATCCACTGCTAGCGCACGAATCTGCGTTGTACAACATTTGTGCACGCACTTGTGTGAAACGTTCGGATTTACATAATATTACAATAAGTATTCCTAAAACGGCATAAAAACCTTAATATTTTTAAGGCGTAAATCCTGGAAAATAGTCTAACAACACTGTTCGTCGTAAACACTAATGAACTACTATTACGGTGGATATTATTATTGGTTTTCAAGATTTCGTTATACTATAATTGGTAAGTATATTTTCTAATCAAAACGTGTATAGGCACTATAATATTCAACGTTTCGTCTGAATAATTTGTATGCAATAAAACGAACTTTATTTATTTTACCACGGGTTAAAACGAATTGATTTATACGGCTACTTAATTATTTCACAGAAAACCAATTAAAACAGCGTGTATTCGTTTAGTGCCACAAACCATCTACATTGAAATACATATCTGAATAGTTTACTTCTGGAACTCAGGGATTGATCCAAGTCAAGATAATGAAGGATAGGATATTTTTAAAATTCTAAGGGCACACATTTGAGATTACACGTTACCCAGTTTCTACCACGGTCCAAATTAAATTTTAATTAACTCAATTAATTTTTAATAAACTTTAAACCGTGACTGATACGTCAAAGACTAAAGCATCAAACTCGTATCTTAGGTTTTTTTTTTTGTGATAAATTATGTCGTTGGTAGTAGTTGTTCAAATGAGACGAGAGTGTATTTTTGATAAAATCTTACAAATCATTAATACCGATGACTTTTAATGATCACGATATTTATTATTCATATGTCAGTGTCAGACTTCCAGTGCAACATAAACTATTGTATGGATTAGGAAAGATTTGCTTTATAATTTGTTTTTCCGTTACAGTATAGCTGTTTTGAATACAACAACCACAATAATTGCCATTCTAGTAAATACATTTTACCGGTTCTGTATATACTAGTCGTAACAGTTTTTCTCTTAAAGCCGAAACATTTATGACTTTTAATTATGAACTACGGCGTCTGCCTGCATCTATGCTATGTTCTCATAGTTCTCAAAAAACATTTAAATAACATACGGTTAAAAATGCCTGTTTTTATTTTTTTATTTCAGAACCTAGGACGGACATTATTGGAGGACCCGAAATATTTATCGATCGAGGAAGCACCATCAACCTGACATGCATCGTACTTCACAGCCCGGAACCGCCGTCTTATATTTTCTGGAACCACAACAGTGCTGTAAGCCAATAGTTTTATTATTTACATTTAAATCTATGGTTATTTTCAATCACATATTAATACATTAATCAAACAAAATAAATTTATAATGCAATCGTAATTTAAATATTTAAACATTGGTGTTTAATATAATATTATGCTATATATTTTTTTCTTTATAATTTCAAGCTGTCAATTAATATAATCCTGTTAAATAAACCCTTATAATAAATAATTTTGTATATTTTTACCGTTTTAATAATCAAACGTTTTTAAATGAAATATCCGTCTACTATCATATTCAAAATATTGTTTTTAAAAATTATTCAATTTTTTTCAAAGAATTTTGATCAGTCAACATCGAAGTGTCAGTTGAGAGAAATTTCATTAGACGTTTTATAAAGTCTTCCAAGGCACTCATTAATACTTTTTTAATGGAGTCCCAGAGTTGTTAAACTAAAATCGAGCTACTTAAATCTAATTTTAATAATATTTGCAATAAGCAAAAACGTCTGTATATATTTTAAATTGACTTTATAGTTACGTTAAGTACGCTATTTCTTATGTATCTTACAGATTTTCCCAACCGAATAATTTTTTAAAAAAATAATGTATATTCAATTCGAACTAAAATAATGTAAAAATAACAAAAATCAGTCGAATTAATCAGACATATACTAAATAGTTTGTCAGTTACGATATCCTAAAAGTCACTATTGATGTGTTAAATAATATTATTGACTTTGCACTTATCTGACAATAAATTTTTAATTCGAAACCGGTCGTAATTTACAAAAATAATAATAATACTAGCTTAGCATAAATTTATTTAATTATGTATTGAAGAATAAAAAATAAAAAATGAAATTCATGTACACAAGATATATGTATATAGTATACGATACATATAAGATTACATATCGTGGTTTTGAACCGTTTGGATTTTTAAGATATTATTATTATATTTTCGTGTATATATTTACTTAAAAATTTGAAAACACATGTGTTTGTTTGATTATAAGCAAAATACTTATGTTTTCCGAAATCGACAGATGTGATAAAGATTAAAATATCGAAAAGATCTCTATAGCTCAATTGCTTAAATAAAATCTTACAATTTTTCACCATGGCTTCCCAATATAATTATAAATATTGAAATATCACCAAATAAAAAAAAAGTATAAATTCAACAATAACAAAGACCATTTTAAAGTCATCCTAGATATACATATACCAAAATTGTAATATATTCTACACAGACGGTTCAAAAACTGAAAAATGTTTTGGTATTGAAGTAATTTTACACATATATAAAGCGATTGTATACAGATTATTAAGTGAATCGTCGATAAATATCAATATCAGTACAAAAAACAATATATCTCAGTAAAAAACATGAAAATAATTGTACAAAAACCTTAAAACATTGACTCGATCAACACACTTAGTAGCTTAGGTAACACAATAAACCCATTATTACTAAACTGAGGAAATAAATCAGTCAATGTCAATCAAGTCAATGCATAGCGGTATTCATATCACTTTTATTTGATTAACGGGTCACTCAAATATAGAAGCGAACTAAATGGCCGACAAAGGGACAAAAAAATGCAAAAAATTGATATCATAACATATTTTAAAAATAAAAACACATATTTAAAACTCAACCAAAATAAAAATGTAAACCCATTGGTTGAAAAAACCGTCTAAACTCAGAGATATCAAAAAACCAATTTAAAATTGTTAAAATCTGAATCTCTGTGGAAGAAAAAAAAATTAATTAACCGTCTCTGGATAGGTCATAAAAGGCTAACATTTAAGTTCCTCATGACCAAAGAGGTTCCTCAGTGCATAACTTGTGAGGTTATTTTAACAGTCAAACATATAACAGAATGCTATAAATACAACAACGACCTCGAAGAATATAATATTTCACCCAACATGGACGAAGCATTAGATCTGACATTGAATACATCACAAATTTGCTAACTTTTCTGAGAAAAACTGACTTAATTCTTTAACTAACAATACTATTAATTCACGTTTAGTACACATGTGTATAAAATTTTAATTATTTATTTTATATATCTAATCAACCACATATTATGCTCAATAACGTATACCCATAAACTAATAAACTTTTTTGCTGATGTTTAATTTTTCGGTTGTTCGATGATAACAAAAATTATATTAATTTTAATACTGGAGTATGTACATGACTAAGGGCGTATTTAGATTTACTTCTAGGAGGGAGGGGCGACTCAAATTTTTTCTTTAGTTCAGGCTCAACATTTACAAGTAAAATTTTTGCTAATATTTATATCAGGTAAATCCTTAATATTTGTGGTTTTTTTTTTTTTTAATCTAATGCCGATCCACTTAGAATGGTCTTTTGTGTAGTTCTCTTTTAACACCTATTTGTGTTTTGAAAGTTTCGCTTGTGTTATATCTAATTTTTCACTAAGTATGGACTAGGTCTTCGATCAAAATAATATGTATTATTTATCGTTATGGGACATATAAACGTTATAAGCAGTTGAGCGTTTAACGCTATAAATAATTTAACCATTATTCAATTTAAGCGTTTAAACGTTATACAAATTTAAACGTTTAAAAAATTTTCCGTTTACCGTTGACAGTTAAAACGTTATGAAAAATTTAACGTTTTGCGTTAATTAAATTAGTGTACAATTTGAAAGTTTTTAAATGTAAGTAATACTCTAAATTAAATCATAATTTTTGTTTCTTAATAAAATACCCATTACTTATATAAAAATTGTCTTGGTCTAAAAATTCTCGGGGGGGGGGGTCGATTGCCTCCCCTCAAATACGCCACTGTACAAGGCATATGTGACAATTTTTAAACTTTGCAAACTAAAGCATGAGTGTTTCATTTTTACTCTGAGCAATATTTCTGTCTTACATTTATTATATGCTTTATGGTAATATTATGTTATGCGCATTGTACTATAAAGTACACTGTTATGCCCCGTCGAACGGAATATTACACGTAATGTATTTATTTCGGGATATGCGCCCACGAAATGTGTAATATAATAATATTTACATACTATGTATAGTGATAAATATAAATATGCAAAGACACTAAACGTGGTTGTAATACAAAACAACACGTGAACATAGTGGCCACGCAAAAGAACCGTAACAGCAAAAATGCAGTACCCTTTTCCCCCGAAGACGTCATGTGACTTTTTATTTTGCTAAAATGGCGAAGTTTATCTATTATTTTGTTATCTATAGTCCTCCTAATGATTTACTTTTTTCACTGTAGTTTATTTGAAACACTTCTTTTTTATCAGTTTTATTGCTTTGTACTTAATCAAATAGATATAACTATTTTTCCGTCTATAAAAACATCTTATTGAACATTAATCTTCTATATTCAAAAAAAAAAAAAAAAAAACATTAACAAAGAGATACCTAATCAATTTTAATTAGAATATTTAATAAATAGATTTTGTAATAATAAATATGTCCACATTTAAAACGTATACAATTTTTAAAGACTATAATTTCATAGTATAGGACGTGGGTATTATTGGATTTGCAAGTTTTCTTCTGCGGCTCTTATTTATCGCTAAATAAGTTTTAAATGTATTTTGTGTCAGTACGAATTGAATTCTTAATATTTTCCAATTTTTCGAACTTTTTAATTTCTATTGCAATTCTGTTGACTTTATTCATTTTTTGAACAATTTTAACTATTTTACATGTTATTTCCATAAATGTATCAAACAACTATAAGTCTGAAATATATGATTTATTGATATTCATGTATTGTTTAAATGATTTATTGTGTATTGACATTATTGTCCTCATGATACTTTGATTATTTTTAAAATCGTATCGATCGTGTCATACTGGGATTATCGGATTTGTCGAATTTATAATCCATATAGATAAACAGTGGCATAGCCAAGGGGGTTAACGGGTTATAACCCCGTTTGAAATATATCTTTTAATTTATAAAATATATAATAAATTTAAGGCATAGGTATATAGGCATCACTCTAGATAAGATTAAACTTAACTCGTTTAAACTAATTTTTGGAACGTGATTATTTGACAATCTGTTTTTCAGGCAATCCATGAATTTCATCTGAACCCGATATTTTATACTTTTGTAAATATTCCGAAAATGTTTCCACTATTTTTAAAAAAAGAAAATTTGAGTTTGAAAATGAAAAAAAAACTCTTATAGTTTAATGTATTTATACATTTTTTTGAAGTAATTATTTTTTGTTATGAATTATAACAAAAAGTTATTTTTCGTGTATGATTCCTAATTTTTAAACGTAATTTTCGATATTTTTAGTGCCATACTGCAATCAATTTTACTACTTTTTGACTACTACAATATCCGTGTCCTATTATTTAATTTCTAATTATTTATCTCTCTTTTATTTACGTCATAACATAATGATTTATTTTTAAGGCTGGGGATTTTATGTGTAATTGTATTTGTCAAATAGCAATAGGTTTATTAAACGTGACATAAAATAAGAATAAAAAAATTAGAATCGCATTACGTCCATTCATTATAGAAACAATATGATAATGAAGTTATACGATAATTTGGTCACAATTTATTTAAAGCACGTGATTATATTTACCATTTTTCATCCAAAAAGTAGTTATGAACTCTTTTTAATATGTATTATTTCCATTATAACCGTTATGGACTTCACCCACGCACGTCGTCGTTGTTCGCCTTTTACTGCAACGTTTCAATTGTCTGCGGTAGAATAGTACTTCGTCTGTATAGCGACCGATTTCTAAGTATTTTTCCTGTTGCGATTTTTCAATGAAAATGCGGAACCTCAAAGTACGTGTGTGTGTCATAATGCAACGTAAGTATGTTTCCCAGAACTCGTCGGAAAACGCTTTTGCATTTCTACGTGAGAATTTTTTTTTTTTTTTAGGAAGATTGGAAGATTAAATGTGCATTGTGAGTGTGTTATGGTGGTTAATTTTTCGAACCGAGTGCCAAAGAGATGGTC